AAGGGCTAGGGCCCCCCATTCAAATAAGAAGCACCCAAGACCCGGTTTGGAGGGCCCTCAACAGATCGAATATACCCGAGCAGGTTATCAGACAGCCCCTACAGGGGCATAGGGCCCTACATTCAAAAACCCAACGTGCAAAGCCCCGAAACAGTGTGCCCGATCAGGCTAACAGATAGGGCCCCGACAAGTGTGTAGGACCTTCCACCGAAATAGAAGGTACCCAAGACCCAACTGGGAGGGGCCCCGAACGATCGAGTGTGCCCAAGCAAGTTAACAGATGGGTTCCCAACAGGAGCGTGGGGCTCTAAGCAAGTGACAGGAAATTAGAAGGTCCCTAGAGCAATATAAAGAGCCCATGAGCATATCGCAAGTCGGTCGGTAGGTTAACCGAGACGAACGAGAAGGGCGCCTGAGCGACTGAGCATATCCCGGCAGGTCAACATATGGGGCCCCGGCTATAGCGTACAGAACCTAGAACCTTTCGAGCGATGGGGAAAATCCACGGAAGGCCCTGATTTACAAGAGTGCCCCCGCTCGAGAGCAGGAAGGGCCTCAGTAACAGCTCAGGGCACCCTGGGCAAATGCAAAGAAAGCGAGCGCAGCATGGAAGACCCCTTAACGATCGGATTGACCTTGCAAGTGGGCATGCAGGTCCCCGGAAACAGCATAGGACCTCAGGACAGCGTATTAAGCCTTAGAATATCCCAACCACGATCCCCTCGACCAGTGAAGAATAATGTTTGTCTACTTGTGGGCTTTTCACTTTCGCTTGCAATTGTTCTGAGACGTCTGGAAGTCCAAGGATGTCCAACTTTGTTGCGTTTTGTGTTAAAAAATGCACCTGTTTCGCCGGCTTTGGACCCCTTCGAAATTTTTGAACCCCTTTGGAGCCCAAGAGGGGCCATGACCCCGTGCCCCCCCCCCTCTGAATCCGCCCCTGTCCCTGCGCGCCCTCGAGCGGAGCCGCCCCTCCCCTCTCCGTCTCCTCCACAACTCATTATGGCCCCGACACATTTTCTAGCGGGCGTATTTTTACACGCTCGGCCGGCGCGGCGGGACGCAGGGGTGGCGGCCACTGGTGACCACCTGTCGACGTCGAGCCAGCCTCGGGGACTGTGGGGCCGCTGTGAACGGGGAGGTGGAGATGTTTGGGGGGGGGGGAGGGGGAGCCAGCAGTGGCGTGTCATGGAACCATCAATGTCCCCTGAAAACGCGCAGCTGGACTAACGGAAAGTTGCCGGAAACTATGAGAGCCGCAAGGATTGGTTAGACAGGTAGAGCAGTTGGGGATTCCGATAGCAGTGGCTGTGGTGGGGCAGGTCGTCGAGAACTACTGTAGGTGTGTTAACGATGGGACTGTTTCAGACCTGATGGTGTTACTTTGCATCCGCACTAAGGGTGAGAGCTGACCGCAAGTCCCTGCCGTGGCACGAAACAGGCTACACAGGCTCAGAATGTGTGGTTAACTAACTAATGGGTACCTTCCATTTTCCATTGTGTTTAAAACGCTTGCCCGGCATTATATATAATTACATTGTGATTATGAAGCAAAGTAATTAGGAAGCAATAGTCATCTTGCTTTACCTGTAGACCTGCATTGCAACATTGCCTGTTTCATTATTCCACGTTTCATCTGAAAAACACATTTACTCCCCTGCTTGCCTGGCAAGTGCCATAACGGAATTATCGAATAAAATAAACTTAAAGATAATCGGAAAAAGTGATCAACACATTGTGTTGAACTTCCTCAAGGTTGGGCTTCGACTGCGGTTCGTTCGACTCTTCCACTAACCAATAACGCCCGCACGAGGGAACTTGTGACCACATTTGCGGAAATTTCCAAACCTCCATGCCCGCGCGGAAGAAACACCATTGTACGTTGCTGCGTTTGAAGCTGCCGCATCTCATGGCACACATAGCCGCAGCAGCAGCTCTGCCGCCGCTTCCTCCCGCCTGCAGAGGCAGAAGCTGTCCCGCCGCGGCGCCACCCGCCTGCAGCGCCGCCTGCCGGCCGGCCCGGTGACGTCTGACGACCGTGCGTGTTGGGCGATGGCCGTCCGGACCGGGCCGGGCCGAGCGGTGACCGCTCTCTGCAGACGGCGGGTCGGCTTGCTCGTGGGCTGCAGCGCGGCACGGCTGGCCGCCGGTGTTTACACTGCAGCCGGTGCAGACATCCGGCCGTGGCGGCGTTGACCACTCCCGGCCGCCGCCCTCGGCCACTCCCGCCGCAGAGCGGCATGAAGATATGTTTGGGATGCCAGCCTGGCCGATTTGGCAATAGGTGTTGGGGACACTGTCCAGCCCTTTTTGGGAATGATGAGCGGGATACCGTGTCAGCCCTTTTCGTAGATGCTCGGGTCACGGTCTGCGTCCCCCGCGGCGGAGCCGTTGGGGTTACCACCCGGTATTTTTTGGAAGAGATGCTGGAAGTGCTGCCTCAGAGTCTTCCGTAACTAATGTTCGCGTGCCGATCTTGGCGCGGCAGCGAACTGTGGCTGAGACAGAGTCTCAGTCCATCGGTGCCCATGCAAATAATCGTATCGGAAGTTAATAACAAATCCGCTTTTACAGCCAAACAGTTGGGTCAGAACCATCACGTGTAACGTAAGTGCGGCAAATTCCATATCCGTATTCCACATTACTGACCCGTGTATTTCAAGTCTAGCGGTCACCTGTGGTAACACTTGTGATAATGTTGACTGCGAATAAAGACCCCAAAAAGCTTTAGCCTGTCGGAGCAGCTGCGAATGTCAGCGGTGACATCCCACCTCAAGTTCCGTTGCAGTTTTGTGACGTTCCAGCGTGTCTTGCACTATGACAATCGGACACGCCTGCTTTACAATGGAGGGCACCCAGATTGGCCCGAGCTACTCAGTCCGATGTCCACGTGCAACCCACCATGCCCGATGGGACAAAGCTTCACGCACTGATAGGACCGCGCGTTACCTCCAACGTTTCCTTTACGTAACAGATCCGACTTGTGATGCGGTCCTGTGCAGTCAAGTCGGTTTCGCTCCGGGCTGCGCTCCTCAGGCGGCTGGCGGCAGCTGGCCCTGGTACGCCGGTGAACCAGGCAGGCGGCAGCTGACTCTGGTGCCGTGCCGGTGAGCCGGGCCGGCGGCAGCTGACCCTGGTGCCGTGCCGGTGAGCCGGGCCGGCGGCAGCTGACCCTGGTGCCGTGCCGGTGAGCCGGACCGGCGGCAGCTGACCCTGGTGCCGTGCCGGTGAGCCGGGCCGGCGGCAGCTGACCCTGGTGCCGTGCCGGTGAGCCAGGCCGGCGGCAGCTGACCCTGGTGCCGTGCCGGTGAGGCTGACCCTGGTGCCGTGCCAGTGAGCCGGGCCGGCGGCAGCTGACCCTCGTGCCGTGCCGGTGAGCCGGGCCGGCGGCGACCAAGCGCGTATATTAAGCGGCCAGTATTTGTTGGCGCTGTCCGCCGCTCCGTAAACACAAAGGCTGCGAGGGCCGCCGTCGGCGCCTGTTTGACACACGGATCATTCGGATTATTGCTAATTGTTTATGCTGTCTGAGGACGACGCCCCCCGCGTCTGCCGCCGGCGCATGGGCCGCGCCGCCCCGGCCGAGATGGTTTATTTCTCGGCGGCCCCGCGCGGTCCACGCCCTCAAAGGGGCAAACGGTCTCCAGATGCCTGCTGCCAGGCCGCCGCGCGGCGACAGGCCGGTGCGGGCCGTGATTTGCTGGCGGTCGGGGGCGGGGCTGGCGCCGGTCACCGGTCACTGGGTGCCGGAAGCCGCCCATGTCCGGCATGCATCTGGAGCGGCCGGCCGGTAGGCACGAGAGGCGCGCCGGGGCTCAGCCCGCTCTGTTTACGTCGGCGGGAGATGTGGCCAGTCGGATGCGGGCGGCGTCATGTCGTTAAGCGCCGATGCATTCACGGCTGACGGCGGCCTGATGTACCGGCCGGAAGGCGTGTCTCTGGTGTTGACGTTTGCGCCAGAAGGCACGGCTCTTGCAAACATCCGTGGGTGAACGGAAACGCCGTATCGGCGCATCAAAGATACTGAGAGTGATCGTAACTGCGCTCTCTAATTGAACTGCACATTCTGTAAAAGCCAGCTGTGCTGTACTTCCTGAACCGTACGCATTGTACCGTAAGTACTATACTGCACGTGACTATCGTAAGATGCACTACAACCTGCGCCGTATCAGGTCTCCAGGTCTGGGCGCAAAATGACCACTGCAGTCGACGCGCCCGAAAACTCCAATGAACAACAACAACATGTCTGCAGTTCAATGTCTGGTCGTGCTCGCCTAGACTTGACCGGTTTTGCGATGTTGATCGAAACTGTGCAACATGTTGAGTCCATCCATTTTTATGCATCCGCTGTATTAGCTGATCTGAGTGACGCGCCGTCTCATCTGAACCGCTACGGGTCCCGCTTCCCACGGCACTGACGTGTTTCGGGCTACACTGCACGCAGCCCTTTTTGAAACAGAGCGCAGACCATGCCTTATAATTTCAGGTCGCAATGGTCAACGTACCTTTGCGTAATGACACCATGCTTTATGTACACCTCACCTGCCTCACTTTATATGCACCTCTTTGTGTCCTGCTGCCTGCCCGATCTGTCCAGTTTTATGCTGCCCGGTACCCTGACCTGTCGTCCAAGAGATCGTGCTGACCTTGGCCCTGGCCCTGACCCTGACCCTGACTACCGCCTGTGTGTTGTCCTGGCCCTGACCCTGACCCTGACTACCGCCTGTGTGTTGTCCTGACCCTGACCCTGACTACCGCCTGTGTGTTGTCCTGGCCCTGACCCTGACCCTGACTACCGCCTGTGTGTTGTCCTGGCCCTGACCCTGACCCTGACTACCGCCTGTGTGTTGTCCTGGCCCTGACCCTGACCCAGACTACCGCCTGTGTGTTGTTCTGGCCGCCCGCACTGTTGCAATCCACCATTCGGTTGATCTGTCTCCTGCTGACGCTGACCCATGGTGACCGCGACCGTTGGTGACCGTGACCCCGGCCTGTTGCAGGTCGCCGGCCGAAGTGCTCGGTCTGGCCACGTCCAGTCCGTTCCGGTCGAGTGCGCCCACCACGCCGGCGGCCGGCGGCGAGCTGACGGCCGAGCCGACGCACCACTACCCGCCGCCAGCGCCCGGCTACGGCCTCGCGGACTACGGGCTCGGTAGGAGCGCAGCCGACACCGCGCTGGGTCGGCGCACGCCGACATCCAAACAGAGCTGGCTGTCCAACTCACTGAGGGGTGCTCATGAAAAGTCTTTGTCTGAAGGAAGTCTCTCTCACCATTACTATTTCTTTGGACTCAGCCACCGTTGGCATGGAAACCAAACAGCTCGCTGGTTACTAATCTCAGCAACTGCTGCTGGGCTAGCTCAACTACCACGTCTTGTCGAGCGTGGCAATGTTTGCCATCTAGCTTGATCGGTGTGACTTGTCGAATGACTTGGACTTGGACCACTCACGGGCCAGCGGGGCGAGGATTGATGACAAATCTCCGACAGCGCGGAGTGCTGCCTCACGCCCATGAGCCCATCCTGTCAACTGTCGCATTACGATCTCAAGATTTAATGCGTGACTGAGTCCCAGATTGACTGAACGCGGCATTCATGATCAGTCAACGCGAAATGTCGAACCCCATGCCCCGTATTGTCGAGATGCGCGAACACTGTCTGCGATAGTTGGACAGTGTGCAGTACCTTATGGTTGTTGTCACCCATGTCACACGAGACGGTGTTGGCACCTTACAGTTGTCGCCACCCACGCCACACCACTGGTGCTATTACAATCACACCGACACCACTGCTCGCCGATTTCACGCAACGGGGTGGCAGTCACTGTCCACCGTCACTGACCCTGAATGACACTGACACAGGAGCTCCGTGGGGCGTTCGACCCCGTGACTGCGCTCGAGCTGAACACGGAAATCAGCGGTTATTTGCGCGCCATACGCTCGATGCTGTTTGACAGAACTCTACAACCAATGGATTGGATTTGGCGCAGACACTGCACATAGAATGGACAACATGACATAAGCATGCTCACCGCGTTGTTGTATTGCGCCTTGACCGAATCGCCGATTCATGAATTAAATAATTGTTCGGACTGTTGTCCTCGTTTGATGCGTAGTATGCATATGAAGTTTCGACCGGTTAAGTTTCCGGCCGTCACCAGGTGTTGTTAAGTTCTGAGAGGGACTGGACGGTATGTGGCCTTTAGTGACTATGCGCTACAACCCGAGTGGAAGTCCTGGGATTTGACGACAACCGGGAAATAAATCGACCAAAACGTTGTGTACATGCTAGCGCATCAAATGAGGACCCCGAACAAATCTCGCTTCAGTCCCTCTGTTCAACTGTGTCACCAAAGCCTGCATCAATAAATTCTCAAAACAATCAACAGCACTTAACAACCCCTGTAGATATGAATTATTCTTAAACCTGGGATGATGATTAGTTTTGGGCGGGTCAGCAAGTTGGTGACATGACTGATTTCTGTCCAATGGAATTAGTGTGCTCCGTGAAGCTACGTTCCATCAATTTCACCGTCATTTCATCCTCATTTCATCATCCCGCATACCTGTCTGGTGGGGTAGACTGTTCCGCAGCGTCGACAAGCAGACGGGACAGTCTATCCTCCTGTTTGGTGGGGTTTGGGGTAAACCGGTTCCAGGTTTTAGCGTAATTTTTTCTGAGTTTAGTCCTCTGTTCGCATCCAAGACGCACATTGGATCTCGATTTATGCCATATGCAAATACATCGGTTGTAGATGTATGCTGTTGTGCTTTATTTAGAACACTCATGATGGAATTATGCCGTTGTGCGTCGTACGGAGCACTCTGCTGCTCTTATACCTGTACTTGTCCTCCGTCTTATCCACAACGAGCGCCGTTTTCTACAGTGAGCTATAATTGCTTTTGAACTAGGGTGGGAGTGAAAAATTCAATCGCAAAAGACAGTACGAGAATGAAAAATTAAATTCACAAAAGATGGAACGTATGGGCTAGTGAGTGATGCTTCAGCAAACAGATGTACATCTGAAGTTGGCATGGACGTAATATCATAAACCTGACAAAGCTGTTTTATTTTTTAACATCTTAGGCTATTAAAGTGAAATAGAATACGTTAAAGTGTAGTAATTTCATAGCAATGTAATGAGCATAAAAAACAATGTAATGCCAATAATTTGCTGCTGCACTTTGCACTTTTCTTCCATAGCATTTTAACACAAAACAAAGCAACGGAATTCAACAACAAACAACAACAGAAAATTCAACAAGCATAAAGCACTCAAGCAAAAAAAAAGCATCGAACTCTTACACATAAGCCCATCACCAAGTCGAACACCCTAGACATGCCTCTGGCATCTGTTAAAATGGGGTCAGGGAAAACTGGCATTATGCCACTGTTTCTTACGAAATACCAATGCCTATTTCCATGAAAGTAGCCTAACTATGCCTAGCTTAGAGGCCTTACCTCATTTCATCCTGTTTGTATCACAGCAACATGTGTGAGTCACCGATTCTCGCACAATTCCTACTACCACTTGTCATGCAATTGATCAACCAGACCTAACTTAGAGTAGCCCATATGTTGAACATCATGAAAAATGCCTCACCTATCTGTTGACAGCAGTACTCGTGATAGAAATACGATAAAGCTCATGTTTGGCTGGTTTCATCTTGCATTTTCATTCAGTTCATTGGAGTCATCTTGTTGACAACACACAAATCAAAACACTTCAAATCACTGTGAAGAACTTATTGTCATAGTTAACCTCTGTCAAAGGCAATAATGGGTATGCTCCAAAAAACAATCTCTCTTCTCCAAAAGCAACATAACTTTTAGATGACCATACCAGTTTTGCTGCTTGCCTTTTCAGCTGCAGCAAATGCATCCATCTGGGCTTGTTTATTCATGTTTAATGACAAAGTTTGAGATGTTGGCTTCACATTTTAAATGGGGTGGTCTGACTATTTGTTACATACCAATATTTAACTCATATTGTAATTGCTATGCAGCTTAGAGTATCCCTGTGTTACAAATATAGTGCATATATACAGTACAGTCATTTGCTGGTCAGCAAACCATGACGGCGATAGAAAACATATGGTTAAAGCAGCCATAAGGGACCACTTTAAGAAATTTGGGACAAAGAACCAAGAATATGGAACAAAATAAGCCAATTGCATGCCTTGTGGCATCATAATTTGTCTTATGGCAAAACTCGACGCATTAAAACAAAAAAATGGCTGTCACTGGTTACCAATCATGCGTTGAAAGGTAAGGTAAGCAATTACTTGCTGTACAGGAGACTTACTTGCTTTTTAAAGGCACGCTTCTTCCTGCTCCCCCAAACAAAACGTCATTACCGTTTGCATGGTTTGCGGACAGTGTCCTTCCACCCACCCCCCAAATATAGGTATCAATCATGACCACCAACCTATGAGGTTAAACTGCGAATTGGACTGAAGTATTGTAACTGACTGACTGTAATTGGACTGAAGTAATTGGACAAGTAAGAGGTGTGCGCGATGAACAGTTCCAGAGGGCAGAATTCCGCCGTCAAACACTCCTGTATTAGCTATATCAGGTCTTTCCCAAAGCTATGTGTGGCAGCATAAGGTAGTCTGGTGAAATAGCTTGGTGAGGCAGACACGGGAAAGGCTTAGATTCATCATTGTGTAGCACCGACATGAACAAGAAAAGGCAACTGGGACTTTAATAGGGCAAAAATGGTGTTGAAAATAAGCTCCGTGCTTCAAATTGTCTCTTTCATTCCCTTTGAATTGTTCACTCTTGCTTGTCAAACATGTGTAGGCGGCTGACGAACCAGTCCAATTTATGTATAAAATACATGCAAGTTTGCAGTTCGAACATTTTGCAGAGAAATTAGTCAGAATTTTATGCAAGATATCGTACCTTTGAAGGTAATCGGAAATGAAGGAAGAATGAAGTTATATAACACTGGTATGAAACCAAGAAAAGAAAATGTGATGAAATAAACACACATACTGATACTTTTTTGGCAACATTTTGTAATAAGCTGATTTGACTTAAAAATATGTGAACATGAGTGTTCAAACAATGATATTCATCTTGTAAATTTCATTTAGAAGACATTTCTTCAATTTACCACCCATGCATTTCGGGAGTGATGCAGTTAAGTGGTCAAGCTTCTTTGAGTAAAATAAATATACGGGTTAATTGTCTACCAGGCTTTGCTGGTGTTTGCACCAGGCTCCGCTTTTATGGTGCGGTAGTGAGGCCCAAAAAATGGGGGGTGCGTGAAAACCTTGCATTTAGCACACAGCTGCCGATTGTGATGCATTTTGTAAACGAACCAAGCCTGATGCATGCAAGCGGCTGGAGTCGGTGGTGCTCTTGGGATTGAAGGTACCTGGCGCCTTGCTCTGTGCATACATAGACATGATTAAGATGCAGATGAGTCAGGACATAGCCAGAGGTATCTAGGTTCTGTGAAGCCTTGTTTATGCTTATTGGCTTCAAGTGAGCTCGGTTTTGGATGACATCTGAAAGCCTCAGGAAGGAAAATATTAGTTTGGCTCGTGCGATTAGTCAATATCAGGCAGGAGTGAAAAAATCACATATAACATAGGGAAAATGAGTGAAAAATACTCCTTATAGGGTGTTGCTTTACATCCAAAGTCGGCAATTCTAGGTCACTGGTTTTCTAAGGAGATGAGTGAGCTAGATTTTGGCCTCTTAGTTCCGTACTGCTACTCGGCTACTGATGGCTGAGGCTTAGCCTCGCACCGGCTGCAGGGCCATTTTAGGTCAGGATGCACATGTGCGGTATCATGTGGGATGTGGTAGTGACGTGGCCGGGACCCAAACCCAGTACCGACAGGTCCAGAACCAAGCTTCGTAATTACTACACCACCGCCGCACCCGGGCCAGTTAGTCCCACTCAATGTGTGCATATGTGTGTAAGGGTTGTGTTTGGTTACGAGTTTATCTAGAGAGTCTTGGCCGTTCTTCCCACTCTTGGCACTGTTGGAGTAGGGCGTTCGATTAAGCTCCGCCCACGCCCTCCTCACGAGCCCCTTGCTTTCTCTGTAGATCTCGCTCCCTCCTCACGAGCCCCTCACTGTCTCTGTAGAGCTCGCTCCATCCTCCCACGCCGCCACTGTCTTTGTTGAGCTCGCTGGTCGTCTCTGGCCACGCGAGGCCGTGACCACCACGTCCCGGCCGCCCTCAGCCACCAAGCTCGAGCCGTCCGTGTCGCCGGACGCCTACCCGCGCCAGTACGCGGACGCCTCGGTCGAGCACGCCGCCAGCACGTCGCAGAACGAGCTGCTGTTCGGCTACGGCCCGGAGCCGGGCGGCAGCCAGGCGGCGGCCACGGCCACGGGGTCCGCCTCGGCCGTCACCGACTCTTTCGCCGCCCACGAGTACCTGAAGAAGTGAGGAGACCTGGAAGCTTACAGGGGCGGGGGGGGGGAGGGGGCGGTTGGGCTATAAAGGTGGCTCTGGGGCGTGCATGTTATGTCCCTCCGATTGTTCGCAATCATGCTAATGTATTGGCAGCGATCAGCGATAAATCAGCTGTAAATAATCCTATAGAGATGCTTATTGCACGTGTAAAGCATGCGTGCCGTTGTTAAATTTATTGGACAAACTGTCGACTTCATTCCTGTCCAGCATCTAATCAACCGTTCGCCTTGTTTATTGCAATGTGTGTCCTGCAAAGTTAGCACTGCATGGTTAGCGTGACGCAATGCCATCCTGCCCCGACCAGTCACCTGACCGGCGTCTCCGTGCTCCCCAGCCTGTCGATGCAGACATACGGGGCGCAGGCGTCCCCTGCAGCCTGTCTGCAGGCGCCCTCCGTCTACAACAGCTACATGTACGGCACGACGCACAGTAAGTCGCTTGCGCCTGATCCCATCGTGACGTCATCGGGAGGCGCGCAGCCAATGCGCTGACGAGTGTCACAGCTGCTCTCGCAGGATAGACATGCGCAGATGTCGGGAATTGGACTCCGAACTGATTTTCCATAGGAAGACAGCTCCTAAAAATCATGTATCGTAGGAACGTGTCGTAGGAACAGGGTGTGTATCCTTACTTTTGATAAGGGGCTGGACGTTGACCTTTGACCTAAGGTGAGTGTATTTAACATGAAATAAAATGGTAAAGATATATATATATATATATATATATATATATGTATAAGAAGGTGTGTATTGATGACCTCTCAGCGTTTATGAGCTTTCCGGTTGCTTCTTTTAGGTTTCGTAAGGTGACCTTGTAGTTTTCGGTGCGTCGATGTAAAATGTTGCCAAAGCTTATATTTCTAACACTGATCAATTTGATGATCGTTGTTAAGACACATATTACACTACATACCTGCAGCCACACACAGTGCGTACAAAAACGTTCGGGTTTTGTCCTATTTCTACGAAGCGTATGTTGGATGCAATTGAAAGAATGGCGTTTGGATGATGTATGGGTAATTCAAGGCACACTTCTGGATGGCTGGAAGTTTTGCATTTTTTCGGATCAGTTTTATTGATTACTGGTTCAGTACCCTTAATTACTGGTGGTGGTGGGAAGGGGGAGGGGGAGGGGCGCTGTCCTGCTAGCCACACGTTGTACAAAAGTAATTGCGTCAGTTGTTTGTTTTGTATGTTGGTGGTGGTTGTTATGTATCTGATGTACAATATTTCAAGTAAAGTGAGATATTTTTGGTCTGTGGTATGCAGTAGTATCGCGGCGTTCATTGTGTTAGCGTATGTGTTTTCGGTGCCCCGTCCCCTAAGTGCACGGCTAACACGCGCACGTGAGGTCTGTTGAAATCGATGCGCTCTGTTGGAAGTGGGGTCAAGTTAACCGCCTGAGATCTCATGAACAAAGAGCGATAGAAATACGAAGTTTACGGAGCATATAGAGCTGTGTGTGCACACCCTTTTGTCAAATTTTACATACCTAGATCATAACTTTCGGGTTAAATAAGCTCAAACAAAGTCAAACGCTAGATCTGTGTCTGAAGTTGTTCCGAGCCAGCTCATATAACCGCTTTTAACCTAAATGCCTGTTTTAAGCAAAAGTTCAATGATGTATTTCACGCCAGTAGTTTTAGTTGACCGTAAGGCGGCCGCAGTGAAAAATACCTGCGAGATTTCTTTTAAATCGAGGTGAGCACGAGAGATGATACTAGGTGGTATGATCCTTGAAGAAAGGTTGATCGGAGCCATTGTAGGTCAATGGCCTCTGGCACTTGATAAGTCCAAATCAGATGGCTTAACATCCCTTTGATCACGAGTTCCGAAATGGGCACAAAAGGCATCCCCCGAAGCAAGCAGGTTTTCTAGTAAAAAACAGGTTGGTTTTGACCTCGCTCTGAACCTTGTACCTGACGAAAAGTCAATGCAGTTAGTCGTGATTTCTAATTCAATTGACTTGTTACTTAAGAAACTGCCTCAGAAATATACCAACACTCCTTTGGCGCAAAAGATTGAACATTTTCTTGGGAATCGCCGTCGCCGACAGCCACGGTCTTTCTTTGACCTGTCAAAATCAGGCTACCTTGTAAGATACCCCTATGTTTATACCGAAAAATTCACAATTGAAGTGCCTGCAGTTTTTCAAAGGTTGGAGCGGCTACAATGCACTGGTCAGAAATCATTCTGGAACAAACATAAGTGGGCGGGCCAACTTTGCCCTCGCCGAGCGTATGTTGCAAATCGGCTGAAACTTGTAACCAGGCCAGTGTGCTAACTTTGCCGGTTTCACACTACCTGACAGTGCATTCAAAACCGTAAACTACACTGGCCAGTGTCAGGGCTTATCTTTGGTTTGGTTGCGGTTAATTTTGATCATCAGGTAAGATGCTTTGGAACTTTTGTGTTATTATCCCAACCTCTATTTTTCTGCCATCAGCATGAAGTCATTTTAGTCAGCAGTGTTAAAGGACAAGACACGTTATACTCTCTGATCGGTTATCAAGATGGGGCCGTAGCATTTTTGACAAGAAAAGTTTCAACGTCTCATTACGTTCCCGAGAGACGTTGTCTCGTTTGTCGTTTTTCGAGGTACTTATCTAGGAAGGACTTTGTGGCATTGTAAATGTCAGTATTTGTGCATTCGTTATGGATGAGCCTTGTGACGCAGCCGGTCTAGCTCCCAAGAACCGTTTGTCAGGGCCCCGCGGGCCCGAATGACCCTTTTTTGGTATGTATCTGGTCGGCTCCATTACCTTTCATTTAACTGGCCTGGTTCGTGACGTTTCTTTTCGCTCTGAAATGTACCATTTGATGAGTCGATCAGGACGTCTACGAATGAACTTGCTTACACAAAGTTCGAAAGTGAAATTATCCCCTGACTGGTCCCTGAGTTTTTCACCCAGAGATAGAATCTGATCAGTGCTGCTAACTTCTGCAAAAGCATCGTAGTAGAGTTACATTAGACAGAGACAGAGACAGAGACAGAGACAGAGAGTTAAACTCAATTTACTTCTGCTATTCGTTTCGATAGAGGCATGTTGCCGAAATATCAACGCACCTAAATCTCCATCCTCCTTGTTTTTCTTCTAGGAATAAGGCTATTGCTGCTGTGGTGTTTGTGTTCATATTGTTCCTCGTAGATGCACTTAACAACTTACGCAACGAGACAGAGCTTGAATTCTGTGCCATTCACATCTCAGCTGAACAATGCCTGCGTTGCTCTTCGGACGGGCTCAATCGGATTCTGTCTGTTTACACATCTTTGCAATCCCTGGACGCATTCCTACGATTTGCTGGTCATTAAGTATATTCGTTGATTGCTAGTGGTAGGGTGTTTGATGTGGAATGCGCGCGGTTAAACCCGCGCGCAAGGCGATGTAGACCGGGCGTTTTTTATGAAGTATCTAGTCTGATGTTAACATTGAACACCGGGCATCAAACATTTTGTGCGCGGTTCTGGACGTCGCTTTGCGCTTGGCGGCTTGTGTGAGATCAATACACTGTTATGAGGTCAACGTGATCGAACGGTCCGCGAGAGACAACGGCCCATCGGCGGGAGGCCCCGACCCACCACATCGGCGCCCGCCTGGCACTCCGTCCGCGCGGCTGCCACTCCAGCCGATGTAGGGCGGTACGTCGCGGCAGGCGACGCACCGCGATGAGAAAAATCCCCGATTCCTCGACTCGAGGTCTGCGAACCACGCGAGCACCGCGCTGAGGGAAATCCCCGATCCCCTGCTCCGGGTCTGCGAGTCATCGGTCGAATGGCAACCCGTGACCTGCGGATGGGGAGGGGGGGGGGGGGGCAACCAACCGCCGTCTGGCGGCTTAGGGGAGCCGATAGTGCTATAGAGCTCCCGGCCATCCAGCGGCCTCAGGCGGTGAGCACGTGTGGTGATGTCATCGCGGTCGACAGCTCTGGCGTTTGTATTTCGTGCAGCTGGCACGAAACTCCAAAAGGAACAAATACATTTAGTTTATTTGTGGTGCGGTTAGAAGAATTTAAAATGTTATCATGCGTTTTAGCACATACGAACCACGGACTGTGCGTCCCTGGAATGATTATGGGTGAGTACTCCTTGTGTAAGGAGTGTGGCAGGATTTTTGTTCAGGAATTGTGGAACTTCCAGGTTTAGAATCATCCGGTCATTATGCAGACTTCATGCATTTTCTTGCACGTCGGATTAAATAATTTTGTGTTGTTTTCAATACAGACTCAATGTCACAGAAAGCATGACATTTCAGTTTGAGTCACGCTGACGCCTCTAGTGTGCAAAGGGAACGCAACGAATGCTCCGTAGCTCCAAATGGAGGAAACGCGGCTTTTAAATGTCACAATTGATTGCATGGCATTGTTGGTCAGACCACATGGCCAGCTGTACCTCAAAAATGCATTGCTGTTACAAAAGGCAATGCATTGTATGAACATTGCAACGCCAGAAACTGAAGCAGTCTTTCGACATGTTGTCTTACCCCATCTGGCTTATCTGGCTGGCCTCTCTTTCGTTCAGTGAAGACCTTGTTTGACCTGCTGGTCTGGGTCCTCCCGTACGTTTTGTCCTGTGTATTGTTATACTGCGTGCTATATGTGCTGTCGATGTGTATACTAGGTTATGCTGTATATATTGTGCATTTCCCCCGTGTGATCGGTGTGGTCAGTACGTGGCCATGCCGAGCTGCTGTCCTGCCTGTTACCCCGTGTGGTCGGCACGTGGCCATGCCGAGCTGCTGTCCTGCCTGTGACCCCGTGTGGTCGGCACGTGGCCATGCTGAGCTGCTGTCCTGCCTGTGACCCGTGTGGTCGGCACGTGGCCATGCCGAGCTGCTGTCCTGCCTGTGACCCGTGTGGTCGGCACGTGGCCATGCCGAGCTGCTGTCCTGCCTGTGACCCGTGTGGTCGGCACGTGGCCATGCCGAGCTGCTGTCCTGCCTGTTACCCTGTGGTCGGCACGTGGCCATGCTGAGCTGCTGTCCTGCCTGTGACCCGTGTGGTCGGCACGTGGCCATGCCGAGCTGCTGTCCTGCCTGTGCGCACCCCGACTGGCCGGTCCTGTCAGTACGTCCACTGCCTACCCTGATACTGACCCCACCACACCTGACCGGTCGGTGCGGCTACAGTCTGAGCCTTCCGGTTCCTTCCGAAACAGTCCACATCCAATTCCTTACCCGTCTGTTGATGGGATCTATCCGGTCCTGTGCTCGCTTGCTCCGGTCCCCTGCCTGTCTGTTGATGGGATCTATCCGGTACTGCGCTCGCTTGCTCCGGTCCGCTGCATGGTCCATGCAGTCAAGTGTATCAACTATCTGGCCCCTTTCATTCTGTATGTTCCCCACCTCCTGTCCGACCTTTCCGCGCGGCCGCCTCACCGCTCCGACCAGTGTGTGTGCGTCTTCTCTGTTCGAAAGGCCCGCTCCCTTTCTGGGCGGAGGCGACCTCTCAGGCCTGAATCGACCCCTACCAGGCCTGCACGTGCCCCTGCCTGACCGCCTGATCCCTCCTGACCCGCCCAGACCACGGCCTGTTGTGGCCGGCCCCTCAGGCCTGAGTCGACCCCCCCAGGCCTCACGTGCCCCTGCCTGACCGCCTGATCCCTCCTGACCCGCCCAGACCACGGCCTGTTGTGGCCGACCCGACCGGTGTGAAATATTCCCTGGTTATGGGGCTGACATATTCTGTTGATATCGAAGGCCTTGAATTAAAACAGATCCCTTAGCGTGCGATCTGTTTTATGTCAATTGCAGGCGCACAAACTAAAAAATGCAAGGTTCTTAAAACGGGCCTCTCGCTCCCCCTTCTCCGTCCTATAAAGCCACCTTTGACTTCATACAGGTACTGAAATTGGAAGCATAAATGTCAATCAAAGGTATCCTGGTGGTTTACCTAGGATAAACCACCAGGTTTTATGCTTTGTTTCAAGCGGTTCGTTAACTGAATTTGAAGTTAACAAATACACAGACATGCCATGAGCTGTTGCTGCACAACCCGAATGTGGAATGGTACGGGCACACGGCGCAGGAGCAGGGTAACAAACAAAAACAAAATATACAAGCGACCGGCGTTGTACTGTGTGGCATGCCATTTGTGTAGTTGATCATGGGCGAAGAAATAGGGGGCACGGACATTACCAAATTTTTGGTTAGTCTGACACTGACCGTGGTGACGTTTACATGGTTGTACATAACACGACTCCATTACATTACGATTGGAAAACGAATTTCCCCTAGGCTTGTTTGGACGTGCCTCATGCCCCTTCGCTCGTTCGTTGTACTGATCGTCTCTGATAAGGCTCTTGGTCTCATTGGGGTCCTTACACGTCTGTCGGTCATTTCGACCATCACAGTGATCATCACATCTTACCCATCATATTTTACCCAGATGATCACGTCATACCCTCGCTCATTAAGAATCAACCAGACACACAACGGCGACTCTCTTTCGGAGTCCTTGGTGTCACTCAGCAGAGCAGCATATGCGCTTTGTCTCTAGCGGTTGGGGTGTGTGGGGTACGGCCCGAGTGGACTTCTGACACCACAACACCACGTGGTATGACGGCGATATCTCCTGTGGTTTTGCCTACTCATTCAACCTTGGGACTGTGCCAGGAGTGACGCCGCTGCGGCCCGGCCGGCTGCAGTGTGCATCCTGGCATTCGACGGTCTGTGGTGTCTGCAGTGTTGTAGCCGCATGCATCGTTGTGCAAGACAAGTGTCGGGCTGTACGGCAGCTGGCGGGTCGTGCCAATCCTCGCTGCGCGGTTACTCCCTTTATTTTTACGTTTATTGTCAGTCATAGCATGCTTGTGAATACAACGTGTGTAGTAGTCAATAGTCGGAGTTACAGAAACAATTTAGATTGTTCCGATATCGGGAATAAGTGCGTGCTTTGTCTCCACTCTTCTTGCGCCCATGACTGGTCGTGGGTATTGATAGCTTCAATTGGGTATGGTAGCCCAGGGGCGACAGATAATCACCGGGATAACACAAATGCCGGTAGGTAAGGGTGCGAGTGTGGGGAAGGGGGCGTCCTCTGTCTTTGAGAAATTCTATCATTGCCGTGGGAAAAAAACGCAAAAAATCGCCCTTGTATTCCCCTCCTCCGCTCCCGGAGCCCTGCTAACGTCATGCGATGTTCATGTTTTTATGCTTAATGCGTCTGCTCATGCTGACTTTGTGGATACCATGTTTTCGGATGAGCGACAACGACGCGACACATTCAAACTGTGGCAGGATAATAATCACCTTTTGGGTACCCAAGGTGAAATAGATAAATACACTGTAAACGTTAGTCGTTATTTGTCCGGGGCAAATGACAGCGCAAAAGACGAAATCTACATTTTTATATGCGGCAACGCTGTGACCTTACTTCGGTACGGCCCTGGGCCCGTCTGCACTCCTGCTTTGCAACAACTGTTGTCGGGCCGGGCGGTGACGTGGCGTGTCTGCAGACACCGGCCTCAGGACCGCCCCCGCGCCTCTTCCAGCGGACACAGCTGGCTGCCATGTCGGGCTGGCGAGCGTTCATGGCCTGCCTGGCCATCCCCGTGCGCATTGTGAAGGCTTTTGCTCCCGTCGGACGCGCCGCCGTCGCGCTGCTACGGGTGCTGATGGCCATATTGTATGCTAGCTATGCGATCGCGCTTTACACGGTTGATTGCATGGCGGCGTGGGTGGCTGAGTGCCGGGGAAATACAGTCTGTGCGGAAGACAGAGAGGACAGGGAAGAGAATGACGAGGAGGAGGCCGCCCTCCTGCGTGTGGATTCGGAGTGTTGAGTGAGTCGGCGACGGCGGACGGGTACACATGATTGTTGCGTTGGACAAGACCCAATTGGTATCGAAGCTCGCCACCACGTGATATGGTAGCCGGAGGTGCGCCATGGTGGTGTGATAAATGGTCATTACTTGTGATTGGTGGTCAGATTACTTGGACCCGATTGGTATCGAAGCTCGCCACCATGTGATCTGGTAGCCGGAAGTGCGCCATGGTGGTGTGATTGATGGTCAGATTACTTGGACCCGATTGGTCTCGAAGCTCGCCACCATGTGATCTGGTAGACGGAGGTGTGCCATGGTGGCGTGATTAGTGGTCAGATTACTGCAGGCGAGCGTCGTTGCTCTACTGAAGTGATCCGGCTATCGCTAGCGACTACCAAAGTGGCGAACTTTATTTAACCAGTTGTGTCTAAGAAATGGTAAGGAACTCCGGCTTCCTCGATAGCTCTGAGCCAGCCGGTGCTAACGGTCGGTCGTTCTCCCGCGACCAGGTCAACGGGGTCAGCAGCGGGCGTCTGGCGGTCTGAGCCAGAACTACCTGACGCCGTACGGGAGCGGACTGGGCTCGGCGGCCGGCTCCCAGGTTGGCCAAAGCCCGTACATGTCGGCCGCCTACAACTACGGCGGTGGCGGCACCGGCCTGGCGGCGCCGCCTCTCAACCAGACCGCCTATTCGACCGGCTCGCAGCAGGTCAGTACGCCACGGGAGGGGTCAGGCACACATCAGGCTGGGCCGGCTCGCAGCAGGTCAGTCCGGTCCGGGAGGGGTCAGGCACGCATCAGGCTCGGCCAGCTCGCAGCAGGTCAGTCCGGTCCGGGAGGGGTCAGACACTCATCTGGAGGGAAGCACAGGTCAGCCGTTACGGAAAGGGTCAGGGAGGAATCGGGATAGAGTCCGGGTTAACTGGGTCACAGGAGAGATCAGGGAGGGATCGGGGTAGAGTTCGAGTTAACCGGGTCACCGGAGAGGTCATGGAGGGATAGGGATAGAGCCCGGGTTAACAGGGTCACAGGAGAGATCAGGAAGGGATAGGGATAGAGCCCGGGTTAAACTGGGTCACAGGAGAGATCAGGAAGGGAAAGGGATAGAGCCCGGGTTAACTGGGTCACAGGGGGACCAGAAAGGGATCGGGGTTGAGTTCGAGCCTACTAGGCCGCGGAAGTGGTCAGGGAGAGATCGGGGTAGAGTCCGGGTTAACTAAGTCACGGGAGAGGTCAGTGAGGGATCAGGGTAGAGTCCGGGTCAGCTGGGTCACGAGAGGGGTCAGGGAGGGATCGGGAGAGCCCTGGTCAGCCGGGTCACGGGAGGAGTCAGTGGGAGTGAGGAAAGGAGAACAGATCAGGGAGGGATCGAGGGGGATCCAGGTCTGTCGGGTCAAGGGAGGGGGACTCGGTGAGGGATCACGTCAGGTGTTGGTGGGGTGGGGGGGGGGGGGGGAGGGAAGAGGGCACAGGTCAGGGCGGGAAGGGGGTTTCCGAGTGGGTTGGGTTTGGGTCAAGTCGGGAGCTTACGCCACACAGGTCACGGAAGGAGGTACAGAACCTCAGGCTGAGGGAGGATGCTCGGACTAGCTGGGTGAGAGTAGCGAAAATGGTTCAGCCAGGTCAGACGATTCAAAGTGGTGACGGTGGAAAGTAATCATCGGGTGAATCAGAAGGTCAAAGGGGTCGGAGCTTGACATCCTCTTCTGAGGGGAGGGGGTGGCATGGGAAGTGTTCAGAGGTCGGCGCTCAGAGGTTGGGGAGTTCATGCGGTCGTGGTAGTCCATGTGATCATGGGATCCAGTGTCAATACAGGCGAACGTTTTACTGTCCACAGCGCACCGTCTCAGTCTCCAATTAGTCGCTTCTGACCTTAACCGCAATTCCCCCCCCCCCCCCCCCGGCAAACCAGCACATAACCTCTTCAAACTGACAGCCGTGATGGTAGAGAGCTTACCATATCACAATTCACAACGTCGTGATGTTGCGGTACATCTTGAGGCATGTCCCATATCACAATTCACAACGTCGTGATGTTGCGGTACATCTTGAGGGATGTCCCATGGCGCAGCGCCTCGCCGTCCACGAGCCCATCAAGTGGCCCGCAAGTCTATATGCGGCGTGTCTCTATATGGGCCAACCCTTCAGCTTCCTGCTGTGAGTGCAGCGGTCGACCCAGCCGCCTGCGAACCCAAGCCAGCAGCGGGACTGACCCAGCTGCGCCGCCTGCGAACCCAGGCCGGTGGCGGTGCTGACCCAGCTGCGCCGCCTGTGAACCCAGGCCGGTGGCGGGGATGAGCCAGCTGCGCCGCATGCAAACCCCAGGCCGATGGTGGTGCTGACCCAGCTGTGCCGCCTGCGAACCCAGGCCAGTGGCGGGACTGACACCCACCGTGCCGCCTGCGAACCCAGGCCGGTGGCGGTGTTGAGCCAGCTGCGCCGCCTGCGAACCTAGGCCGACGGCAGAACTGACACAAGCTGCGCCGCCCATGACCTCGCGCTGACCTCAAACCCGTCCGTCGCCAGGTCGCCGCCGACTACGGCAGCTACGGGGCATACTCGCCGCAGGCTTTCTACTACGGGGCCAGCGGGTTCGGCTCGTACATGTCCCCGGGTAACGGCTGGCGGCAGCCACACGCTCTCGGGTAGCTGTACTCCGAGCTCAACGCAGACGTACCACCTGTCGCCGCTGCCGCCCGTCTCGACGCCCGAGGGTAGGTGTCTCCGCGCTCGACGCAGACGTACCACCTGTCCGCTTTCTGCCCGCCCGTCTCGACGCCCCGAGGGTAGGCATCTCCGCGCTCCGGCACCCCACCCTGAGCTCGACGCAGACGTGCCACCTGTTGCTCCGGCACCCCCACTCCGAGCTCGACGCAGGTGCACCACCTGTCGCTCCGGCACCCCACTCCGAGCTCGACGCAAGGTGCACCACCTGTCGCTCCGGCACCCCACTCCGAGCTCGACGCAGGTGCACCACCTGTCTTTTCGGCACCCCACTCCGAGCTCGACGCAGGTGCACCACCTGTCGCCTCCGGCACCCACTCCGAGCTCGACGCAGGTGCACCACCTGTCGCTCCGGCCACCCCACTCCGAGCTCGGACGCAGGTGCACCACCTGTCGCTCCGGCACCCCACTCCGAGCTCGACCGCAGGTGCACCACCCCTGTCGCTCCGGCACGCCCACTCCGAGCTCGACGCAGGTGCACCACCTGTCGCTCCGGTACCCCACTCCGAGCTCGACGCAGGTGCGCCACCTGTTGCTCCGGCACCCCACTCCGATCTCGACGCAGGGTGCCACCACCTGTTGCTCCGGCACCCCACTCCGAGCTCGACGCAGGTGCACCACCTGTTGCTCCGGCATCCCACTCCGAGCTCGACGCAGGTGCACCACCTGTTGCTCGGCACCCCACTCCGAGCTTGACGCAGGTGCACCACCTGTTGCTCCGGCACCCCACGCCGAGCTCGGACGCAGGTGCACCACCTGTTGCTCCGGCACCCCACTCCGAGCTTGACGCAGGTGCACCACTGTGCTCCGGCCACCCCAACTCCGAGCTCGACGCAGGTGCACCACCTGTTGCTCCGGCACCCCACTCCGAGCTCGACGCAGGGTGCACCACCTGTCGCTCCGGCACCCCACTCCGAGCTCGACGCAGGTGCGCCACCTGTCGCTCCGGCACCCCGCGCACTTGCGCGTACAGACTCGCCTTCCATGGCCACCCGCAGGTCGGACGGCTGAGCTCCGTCGGTACCCCGCTGGATGGGTCAACCAGAGCAGACCCCATCTCTCATTCAGACAGGGATGGTTCACTGTTGTTTCCAGTAGTTCACTGTCGCCTCGTTCGAATGAGTGCTCCATGGCCGTGTTTAGTGTACCACGCACATGCGCCAGTGAGGCTCCTGACCGCGAGTTCAGATTCAACACGAACTTTCTCGGTGCAAGCAATGCTTGCATGGTAATGTCGCCCAACCAGAACTTTCTAGTGTATTGAAGGTCGTTTACCTCCGCCATAAGAGCTCACAACTTTGTAAATGTAATGAAAAAAGATCAAAACGCGGCACTTATTTAAATGCATCACATTGAAGCGCATGCTTGGCGCGCAGCAACGGCTTGGAAGAAGCTCGTTTTCCTTTTAACCTTTAAATGGCAATGACTTATCAATAAGATTGTTTCCAAAGGTGCATGATGCGGCATTCTTTCTGCAATGGTCCCATCCAGTCACTTTTGCTCTTGGTCATCATTCTTTTGTATCACCAATCACTAATCATGGAATAGATTACGTCGCTTTACGGAAATGTGCGAGGTCAGATTAAAAAAGATGGCAGTTGGTGAAAGCGGCCTTGGAAGTAATCGTGAACGTCTTTCAGGATCCGAGTTCTCTGAGGCTGGAACATTCCTGTACCACTCGCCAACGCTGGGCACCGGCCGGCGGAGACGCAACAGTAACGGAAGTGAGTCGCTTCCGGTCCGACTGGCATCACGTGAACGGCCGGCATGTCACGCGGCCGGCAGTTGTCAGACCACCTGTCTGTTTTGGCTGTGTTTAAACAGCCGCCTTCCACTTGCAAGCTAGCGCCGAACTCCTTGGCGACGCAGTGTGGTGGGAGCAGGAGTGCGCGGGCTGTTCCGCTGCTGCCAGCCGGTTAAGGGGAGCTGCGTGGGACGCAGTGGCGGCCATCAACGCACTGGGGCTACGCCAGCTGTTTATGCTGCTTATTGGGTGGACTAGGGCTGGAAAGTAATGGGTTATCATACAGTTATCAGAAGTCTGGCGGAAGGGTGGCGTTCCATACGTTAGCTATTTTTTATGGGGAGTGGTGATGGATACGACCTTCAAGCGTGTTAATACCCACCCCGTATTTGCCCTCGAGTAGGCATCATTTTTCGAACATTATGATTGGACGGCCTTCCTGCATCAAGGTTCTCGCCAAATATCGCTTGTTGCGTGAACCTTGAACCCGCCACCCGGTCGTGCAATTCCGGTGCATAATTTTGTGGCGAAGTTTAGCGTACCGTAACGCGCGCCACTGTTCGCTCCGACACCTGAGCCCCATCTGCCGCCACTGCTTGCCCGCCCCCTGACCTCATTGAACGCCATTGTACGCCCCGCCCCTTGACCTCATCTGACACCACTGTCCGCCCCGCCCTCTGACCTCATCTGACACCACTGTCCGCCCCGCCCTCTGACTTCATCTCACGCCAGTGTCCGCCCCACCCTCTGACCCAATGCGACGGCTGTCCGCCCCGCCCACTGACCTTATCTGACCTTGCTCGGCCACTGCCACCGGCTGTAGGTCATCTTAACGAGGACCAAATAGCGAGGAGCGCAAAGCGACTGGAACTAACCCTTCCGGCTATGGCTAGGCTGGAAGACAGACGCTCTAACTGATTGAGCGACGGGGGCGAACTCTTGCAGCGTGACATCCCGCCGCAGCGAATGGTTTCAATTTGCGGTTTTCGAACTGTTATCAGGACAGGGACAGGTGGCTCAGATAACCCTATATTGTAGCTCATAAAGGATGTGTCGCCGTCGATATTGTGCTTTATTTTTAGTATCTGCTGGTTTTCGAAGCTCTGGCCTGAACCCCTGCAGTATCCAGCCAGAGCAAAAACATTTTTCGATAAGTTCTTAGGTGACATATCGCATTTAAGCATGTGAATATGTTTCTGAAAATCTGTTTGCATAAGTTGTGATTCGAAACCACGAGCATGTTTTTTTGTTGCAAGAAATTTTGTCAGTTCCAACGTTCTTGGCCAGGGAGGAGCTGATTGAAACCACCTAAAACCGTGCAGATTCCCATTCAAATTGAAGAAAGCTTTGAACATACTTTAGAGCTGCGTTACCGAATGGTTTGGTATGGGCGTGACCTGACCTGACCCGTCTCGTGTCTGGCTGACACACAGACGGCAGCACCGGCCGACGACGTCGGCGCGGCGAGCCGTCACCCGACGACGAACTGGCGCAGAAGATCGACCGCATCTTCATCTGGGACCTAGACGAGACCATCATCGTGTTCCACTCGCTGCTGACCGGGCAGTACGCTCGCGAGAACGGCAAGGTCAGTCAGCAACAGCGTGCTATCGCGCCGTAGATGGCGAGTCACGGTACACTAACATTGGCGCAGCTGGGATAGGTTACT